CCAGTTGCTTCTAATGTGTATTACAAGTTTATGGAGTTTAATACATGCTATTTTATTAGAAAAATCTCCCTGTACCAAGAATTTACAGTTACACAAAACTTTAAGTCTTCATACTGCATATAATTGTAAACATGTTCTTGATGTAGATATTTTAAATGGAAGATAAAGGACAAGTAAAACAATACGTTGAGTCTTAACAGGCCCTTAAGTTTTTACTGGCAGCTCTGCGTAAGTAGCAAGCATGAATCCCTGTGAATAAACCATTTGCTACTGGCTGCCTGACAGAACAGATGTATTCCAGTGATGAAAGCTTAGCCAAGCAGTAAACTAAAATACTAAAGAGATACATGTGAAGTACATACATTTTTCAACAGTTATGTATTTAGCTTTTCACAGCTTTTCACAATTTTAGAAATATTTAATAAATAAAACTTAAGTTTTTCAGCTGTTGACTTTTTTTGATGACGACAGCAGCATATTCAAGCAGTTAAGATAGGGAATGGAAATCACTACTTTTCTCTCATGCAGTGTTGTTTAAATTAGAAATACATTTCATCTTATGGAATACTTGCTAAGATCATAGGCTTAAACTGTTTCATGTCATATAATACCTTCAAAAGATGTATGTAGCACCAAGAATTTAAGTTTACTGTCCAGTCTAGAAACTGAAGATCATAGTTGTGTTTACACAGTTTTTTAAAAATAGCATGCTGCTTAAGGCATCTTAACAAAAATTAGATATCTTCAATTTTCTTAAATTTCAGTATTGTTCCTGTAGCCTTGCTACTCCATACACAGGTGCTGTCAGAGACCTGGCTGTGACCTCGACCGGCAGTTCTGCCTTTGAAGTGTGGCCAAGCCCTTGAGCTGTCATACCCATTGAACTGAGACGAATGTTGACCTCCTTTTCTGACTTGGAAATCCAAAGCTGGAAATTGTTTATTTGAAAGCTATCACTTGAAGAATGTAAAGTAGTACTAGTGATACTTAGTATGTTTTGCCTCTAAATGACTTCCTACAAAACCTTTACCATTTATCAGATTATTATTAACTGGTTCGATTTTGTGTCTTAAGACATCAATTTTGAACTAAAGCTGTAAGATGGCAAAGAAAAGGTGTGAAATTGAGAAAGGGATGAAACAAAACCCAAACCACTAAACCCCAAAAAACCCCACTACCCAACAAAACACAACCCCAAAACAAACAAACAGAAAAATCCAGATACTTAGGAAATAGACATGAGAAGAAAAAAATGCAAAAGATAAAAAAAAGCTGATAGATTGATCTCAGCAGAGTTTGTATGCATGCTCCATCTTCAGTTACCAAATATTTGTGTGATTGGCTAAAAAATTAGTGTTTTGGTGTATGTGTTTTATATGCATTTAGTGTTATGTTTTTATTTCACTTATTCTTTGTGCTCTTGCAAAGTAGACTGAAAAGGGAAGAGAAAATTATTTTCATGTACATGACCGTATGTGTGATATTTTGTCTATGCTTTCCTTCCATAGCATTTAAAAATAGCTGCTATGCTGTAATAATATTTATCTCTAACTTCTTTAATTGAAAACTATATATGCCATACCAATCTGTTCTGAAAGAAAAATACAATTTCTGCATGCCTACCCTACTAACCTGATTCTTTTTCAAAGATAATAGTGGGCTAAAATCAAGTATTTTTAGACGTGCAGTGCACCACATACTGACTCTCTTTAGATATATTACATGTTAATATCAGGAGAAGACAGCATAATGAGTAGTGAATGGCAACAGCTTCTCAGTATTTGACCACACTGTTTTTTAAACAGTGGAATAAAATGCATTAGACTTACTTGTCAAAGCTGAAAGATTTGGTAACTTCCAAACATTTCATCTGTAAGGTGACAAAATTGGATGATGAGGTCAGGAGGTGGTAGATGCTGGACTTCTGCAAAAATAATTTAGTAAGAATCATGTTAAATTCTTAACCAGTTTAATTGTTTGTGAAGTAGCTTTCTATTTACAACCCATAGTCGCAACAACCTTCATTGTTCGTAAGTCCTGTACATGTAAAGAAAGTTCAATTAGCCAGATGTGCTGGGTAGAGATACGCTTGGGCTTTTTTATTATCTTGTGTATGTAAGAGTAAAGCATTTCTGTATGCTTGGCCCTTTTTACCTTTGCTAGCACCACAGAATGGTGTCATCTCATTATAAGGAATTGAGTTTCCAGAAACTCTGGGGAGTAAAGTAAAAGGTGAAGAGTGTAAAACTTGATGTTCAGATAGCATGAGAATTCTGAGGCTAGTGTTCACAGTATCTGTCAAATAGTCTTCATATTTCTTCATATCAGTGGAGCAAAGTATTAATGAATAGGCTAACAGTAATTGATTAAAGAAGCCATTATATCCAAGTTTGCTTGGTGAAGAGTAAAGAATATATACTCTGTAAAGAATTCATGTAGATTAACTAACATTCAGAACTCAGCTTTCAATAATTAAAATTCATTCAATTTTATAGAAATTCTTTTGAATTCAATGCCAGTTTTGGTACAGACTTCCTCATGAATTTTTAAGAATAGAAATATTTTTAAAGGTTTCATCAAAATAGTTACAAGATTCAGTTTGCCAGCAAAAAACCAGTAAAGTTGCACAGAATTTATTGCAGCATGTAGTTACAATCCCCAAGATATGCCAACGAAACATTCTGGAGGTAACACACTAGTTAGATTCAGTGGTAGGGTACTAGAAATATTTTAAACTTTTTATTTAAATTAAATGAACTTCAACCCAAGGCTGTGCAAAAGTTGAAGTTTAGTGGTCTTGGCGCTGCTTACTGCTCTGGAATAGCCAGGTGATGGTAGTCCAGTTCCTTTGCTGCAGAGTTCCAGGTGTCTCTAGGTAATTTTGGTTTTTCACAGAGCTGTCTAACTTGTGTACCACGTTCACTTCGTCTGTTCTTCTGCAGGGAAAGTTGTAATAGCTTAAGAAATAACCATCTGTAGCAATTTATTACCTCCTGTTACCTGGAGGCTATGACCTTCTTTCCTAATATGCCTTAGCAGGTTCTGTCATGCAAAATCCAGGTTTGTTTAAATCCCAATTTAAACTATGCCACTAAAGGTAGTTTAAACTAATCCACCTGACTTTGCACTCGGGTGGAATGACAGAACTCGCATCATCGCAGTAGCCGAGTTTTGGGGAAGGTAGCTGCTGGTTGTTGTAGGGTAAGGTCTTAAACAATCCTAGTTAAACCCACAGGGTGACATTGAATTGAATTATCCTGTTTGGGCATGTAGTTTGGTTTTGTTTATGTACTTAGTGTTTCTGACATTGGACATGTGTTCCAATACCACTGATTTTGTCTTTGTCTAAAGTTAAGATAATTGTGCTTCTGGACTTGGACAAGATGGTCCTTCAGGAAAGAGAAAATATCAGTGAAAGTTTAGGCGTGCATCTGAATTTGATGGAAGTCTGTGGTTGAGCACCCTTCTCTCCACAAGCATCTCAGAAATACAGTAAAATACAAACTTCTGAAGGCAGATGAGGCTGGAAAGTCTGTCTGGAGTTCAGCTCTTCACTTGTAATTCTATACACCAAGTTTCAGTCTATTTAACTGGTCCACTTGATGTACATTCTAAAGAAAAAATTAATGTAGCACCCCAAAAGACTGGAATTGCAGACTGAGAGAAAGAATAGCCAATACATAGTAAAAATTCTGTTACTACCTAGATATGAAGTTGGCTTTCAGACACTCGAAGCCTGCATTCAAATTCTCTTTTTTCTTTAAATTTCATTGTAATTGTAGTTTAGTTTGTGCTTGTATGCAAGTTTAGCACTTTTATACACAAATACTTTGTTTCTAAAAAAGACTCCCAAATGATTGGTTTTATTTTAGAAAATAAGTATCTAGTGGTGTTCATGTTGCTGTGCTAAAATTTTTTGTGATTGGTAGCTGTGGTAGAAAGAAGTGAAATAAATAATGCTAATTTAGAAATAGGTACATCTTACCCAAAATCACAGTTTCATGCTGATGTTTAGACATCACAAAATCTGATGGACTTGCCTATTTTTCCTTTAAATAGCTTTTTGTTTGGAAAATAGCAGCTTATGATAATTGCAAAAATGATTTAATAATCAAAGTTTGATAGTTCATATGTAGAGTGAGGAAATACTCTACAATGGAAAAATATATCTATTTTAATAATACATGGATGAATTTTGCATTTGTCTGCAAAGGTTGTCATGTATCAGTGCAATTATCAGCACGTGAAAGAATGTTGTTTTGTAGAAGAAACAAAATGGTTAAGATAGTTTGATATATAAATAGTTATTGGAAAAATACAAGAGAAGTAGGAGTTTACACTGATATTAAACACCTGCTTGATCTTGTGAAATAGTTGTTTCTTAAGGCATCTCCGTAACCTTGACAATGTAAAATCTGTTTACCCTTAGAGGTGTACATGTTTTGGTATGTCAAATGGTTTGTCTTTCATAATATGCAAAGGATCAGAATTCTCTCTGGAAAACTGGAAAATGAAATAACAGTAAAAAATTGTAGGTCTGTTTCCGTTCATTTTTTTCAAATTGCTTTACATGTGGAAGCAAAATACTTTAGAATTGTGATTTCCAAACGTCCTTTGCTAGACCCTACCACGAGCAGCGAATGCTACTGTCTTTGAAGTGCTTTGTTTACTGCTAATCATAGACATATGATTGTGAATGCTTGCTGTATACTATTTCATTTTTGTGATAACAACTTAAATAGGAACTGCACATCATAAATCATGCTCTTACCTGCCCTGTTGCAGATAGGTGACTCTGCTTGATAATTTGACATACAGTAATTTACAGGACATTCTCACTGAATAATACTGTGCTGAATAATAAAGTGCTGCAGAGTGTTATTTACATGGGCTATTGAAACTTCTGTCTGCTGGGGTGTTTCATACAATTTTGGTTAAAAAAATAAATCCAAACTAGCCACATAGTTCATTTTTGTGATAATTTTTTTTTCTTTCTGCAGCTCTACTGAGAAGTCATTTCCTTGGAGATCGTCAGGTATTATCTTTTATGTGTACATTTTGCTTTAAGCCCCAAAAACTTTATTTTCTTGGCATTCATTGCTTGTTTTGAAGTGAACTGAACATTAGCAGCAATGCTACATATCTTTTTTAAATACTTTAGAAAAAGTATAACACTAATATCCTCTTTCTCGCACGTGAAGAGACTTGTGTGTTCCTCTGTTATTGTACAAGGTTGTTTTGGCTTAGAGGTAGTTGCAGATACTTCTCTTGCAGCTTTTTGTGCCTTTGTATTTTTGTGTGAGATGTGACTGTAACAAAAGTCTTGTGTATTGGGTCTCCTTTGCAATTAATTAAAAAATACTTTTGAGTTTTCCCTTTAGCAAGTAAGGATCATGAAAAAATACTATATGTTTTAAGCTTGAAAACTGATTTTCTTTTTACAGATATCCTTAATTAACTGAGAAAATCTCCAATAAGTGAAGATTATTCTGAGAGCTTTTTCTATTTTTGTATCTCAGGATAGCTTAAACTTTCTTTCCAAAACAATAAATATTTGTCTTGTGGTGCTTCTACGTCTACTCTTGAAGTACACTAGGTGGAATGGATAGGACTGTATCTTAAAAGTGACATTCAAGTGTCTCTTGAAATAATCCCATCTGTCCTTCACAGATCAGAGCATTTAACTAGTTAGGTTTTTTGCATAAGTTAAAATATTTAATATTGAAGAGTCAGTCTTCTGAACAGTGCATGTCTCTTCAGAGTGATGAAGTGTATGTGCAGAAGTCAACGTGTCAAAACCACACAGCAGGACCAGAAATGGAACCTTGAGTCTCTGCGAATTGCTTTTTGCACTGGATCATGTTTCTCTAATTATGTACTCTTGACAGAATGTCATATTAAGCACAATTGGTCTAATGTAATCAAAATGCAATTAGCATTTTAGGTAGCTTGTTAGAAGTTTTATTAACCAAGCTCTGCACAGTGCTAATACTGTATCTCTATATAAGGATGCATGCAGTTTTAAGAGCTATCCAGTTGCTGCTGCACAAAGAATAGCACATTGTAGTTGTCTGCTTGTTCACGCAAGCACATTCATAATTGTGATAATTGTGACTATTTTAGGTAAATAAGTCTCTCAAACTATCTACTTTCCCTTCCCCTTCCTGTTTTTTGTTTTATTTAGAGACTAAGCTCTTAAACTTCCGTATAATTGTATTTACATGGTTTCAGTTGCCAGCTGAGGTGAGGCACACATTAATTTTTTTCCTTTTAAATCTAATATTCTCAACAGCCTACTTGTCTTGGCATTTAAATTTTGCTAGTCATGGTGGTGCTTTTCAGGTATTCTTTTAGCAGTATTTTTAAACAGAAGTCAAATTTGTTTTTTCAAGTAACTGAGAAGTTAGTTTTAATTACGCTTTCAATGCTTTCAATGTAAAACTTATCTTTTTCTGGTTTTGTGGTGACTTTTTTTTTAAAAAAAAAATCACATTATTTCCCCTGGTTCTGTAATGTTCCAGTTGCAGTTCACAACTAGTAAAGATACCTTCTGACAGATCTTGGTTATTGTTTTACTGATTTATCTCATCCAATTGCATTCCATTTCTTTATTTCCTCCTCAGTTTTTCCTATAACTTCTTCTTGATCTATTGTTTGTTTTTCTCCTTGCCTTTCTGTTAGTTCCTCTCTTTCTTTCATCTACCCAACTCATATTTTTATTTTTTCCTTTAATTCTCTCCTACCATTTGTGTGTTTCTTTTCTTTAGAAATCTCCTGTGCACATCCCTGCTAAGAAGTCATTTAACCTATGGCAAAAAAATATTATTTCTATTTAAATGCTGTATGCATTAATATAAATCTAGATGTATGTTTCTCACATCTCTATGTATCTAAAATAAGGCTTTTCTGGAGTAATTGCTCAGAAGTGGGCATGATTAAAAAAATATATTTTTTGCTTAGAATTTTCTGATGTACGTTTCATTTAATGTTTACATTTATGTTGTGATTGTAGCATGACTGTAGATTTTACTTAAAGATTCACTCTTGAGCTTTGTTTTGAAGAAGTGTCAGTACATGTTGCTTTACTAACTGCAATCTAAACAATACTGAAGTTAAAGATGAATGAAAACACTCCCTTAAATCACCATTTTTTTCCTGACTGCAGATAGTAGTTTATATCAAAAAACCATCAGTAGATGGTGTGATGTGACCGTAGCTGTAATTGCTTTATGTATTGGTAGAATTATACAGAATTTTTAACAGAAATATAAAATAATGTTGTTTTGCAGATGCTTATAAATAGAATATTAGCTCAGCAGCCATTTATAAAAAGGCTATTATTTTATTCAGGGCACTCTCCTCATGATTTATAGTAGCAGACAGAGATAGAAAGACAACAATTCATTTTATTGTGCATTCTTGCCTTTGTTAGAGAGCCTAAACAATCTTTATTTTTTAGCTTTGTGAAAGCATTTGCTTGGTGGCAAATGTGTGATGGAAGCGAGGTTTTGGTTCAGACCTCTGTCTTAGGAACATCTGTACGGCACTGCACAATTGAACTTTATTCTTCCTATGTGTTTCTCCCCAAATTGATTATTTGTCAGTTTGACATTGATTTAGTATCATGTAACATCAACTAACTAAAATAACAGGGCCTTCTATTACTTAAACAAAAAAGATTGAAGATAAAAATATTTAAATTGAATATAATTATAATTTAAATGTCCCAGTCCCCTCAAGTATTTTGTTCTAAAGAATATGTAATATCTGCTGATGTCTGTTATGATCAGTTATCGAGTTAGTGTTACAGGAGCTGTGGAAGTGAGTTATTTCAGTGTTGCTTCTCAGTATCATTTCTAGGCATAGTGATGGTTAAATTAATGGAAGTGTAGTGACACTTTTTATTAAGCCTTAATTAAATTTGGTCATAATATTTCTATTATAGTAAATTAATTAGCATCAAATTTTACTGGATGATTTTGACCTAAGAATGTACTGCTGATAAATAACCGTGCTGACTGCCTGTAATTTCTAAGATGTATTGATTATTTTTTTTTTTCCCTTAATCTGGTATTTGAATAGTGTTCAAACATTCATCATAATAGCAATTAATGACTAACATTTTTAGTATGAATGTTCCGTTATGGCTGATTGTGCGAATAGTGAGACACCAGCATTTTGTGTACAGCTATTGGTAAAAATCTGAATGTTTCTTTACAGCTTGATAGGTACAAACACTCTTATGAAGTATACTGTAATAACAACTGTTAGAAGGAATTTCCAATAGCTCATCTGTCAGGGTTTTTTTGTTTTGTGTTTTGTATGGGATTTTTTCCATGAGTACCACTAGATTTTATGTTGGGGTATTCTTTGTCGGTTTGAGAGAGTTTTTGTTAGCTATTGCATAGAATTTATTTCAGCCTTTTGCTCCATCTTCTGCCTAGCATCAAACTCCTAACAGTTTGCCTCTTTCTCTAACGTGCTGTTATGTTCATTTTCAAAGAGCACTTAGCAGGCTTCAATGTCCACAACTTGCAACTTGTGACATGAAGCAGTCACAGAAATTTTTACTAGACTGTTGCTTCTTAGCATGTTTCTTTTGGTTCCCACTCTAGGCTCATTCCTGTATTTCTTCAGCAAGAATTTACGTATCTCGTGTTACCTTTAAACTTCCTCAGGGGGAGGTTTAGATTGGGTATTAGGAAAAATTTCTTCACTGAAAGGGTTGTCAGGCACTGGAAGAGGCTGCCCAGGGAAGCGGTTGAATCACCATCCCTGGAGGTATTTAAAAGACGTGTAGGTGTGGTGCTTAGGGACAGGGTTTAGTGGTAGACTTGACAGTGCTAGGTTAACGGTTGGACTCAATGATCTTAAAGATCTTTTCCAACCTAAGCGATTCTATGATTATGTGATTCTGCATTTCTGACGCCTGCTCTTCATCAATGAATGTGATATGATGGCAATTGAGTGCTTAATATTTCTGTCAAAATAATTTTGATTCAGTTTTTCTTGTTGCTTTGTGTCCTCATCTTTGTCCATTTTTTCCAGACTATGTTTAATTTTTTCCTTTCTTCATAGCAGTGTTGTGATGTCTCCTTTACTTTCTATTATATATGATGACTCTTTCCTTTGCCGTTTGTAAGGTTCAGCTAATATTCTTAGAACTGAAGTTAGCTTAAGAGTTGTTAAAAAGTAAACATTTGGATAGTAGTATATGAAGTAAAAAAATCTATAAAATGTGCAGCAGCTTCTGTTGATGGTACACAAACAGGGATGAAATTCAGCTCAGCCTTTTACGTACAAAGCTCTTTAGATTATAGGACCTTAAGACAAGTGATAGCTATCCTCTGTGCACTGCAACACAGTCGCACAATGTTTCTACTCTGCAAAATATACTTACTAGATAATCATTTATATGGTTCATTAAAATAGGTTGGAACATACATTTGAAAAGCTAGAATTGCAAAACTATAGCAAAAGTGCAGGAAACAAGATTCTCAGACACTAGTATTAATGTTATTTTCATTTAGTTTGGTAGATGATGCCTGTCTAGTAGTAGACTCTGTTTATGTTGGAAGTTCTTCGTTAGTAGGTGTGAGAAAATTATTACGATTGAGTTTGCAGGAAACTTACATATCAAACAGTGGATTTATCTAATTAATTTATTCTTTCAGATCCTCCGACCACCAGTGTAAACAAACCCCAAGTGTCAGAGAGTGTTCATACCAATGCCTATGACATTAGTTCGGAACCAGAACAAGGGAACCTCTACTCACCAGAACAGACATCTCTCCATGAAAGTGAGGGTCTGTTGTGTGCATTTTAAATATTAGAATATATTTCTGTATTGACTGTATAAAAATATAATACAGTTATGAATGCAACAAATAACAAAGTTATACAATATTTTATTTTTGTGAAATTGTTGGATGCTTTTATTCTTATACTGACTTCATATCTACAGGGTCTGTCGGTAACTCAAGAAGTTCAACACAAATGAATTCTTATTCTGACAGTGGTTACCAAGAAGTGAGCAGTTTCCATAACAGCCAAAACTTGAGCAAATCGGAAAACAGACAGCAGCATTCCCTTATTGGAACCACTAATAACCATTTGGTGAGAAGCTCGCGAGCTGAAGGGCAGACATCGGTCCAGGTATGCTCAAAATAGTACACTTGATCACTGTGTGTACACTGTCTGTGACACAGTTTTAAAGACAATAATTGTATAACTGGACCTACCTTTGTGTAGACTGGAATTAATGTTTCTTAATTACACTTTTATTAAAATGTTTACCGGTTAAAAAACAGAAATGGCTTGCAGCAGACATAGACTTGTTTGCTGAAATCAGCTTGCATGTGATCTGGTTCATTCACTGCAACTGAAATTAAGTAAAACTTCTGAGGACTCCTGACTGCAGAGTACGCTGCTAATACCAAGAAAAGTGTCACTTAAAATTCAGTTATGATATTGGGGAAAACCACCTAGAATTTAGCCTGTGTGTAAACACAGTGCTTAAAGGAAGATGGTATTTGTGTTCCTTTACCTTCTACTGTTTCTGGCTTTTTTTCCCTCTCCTTTTTCATTAGTCAGAATGACAGTAAGACAGTAATTGACAAAACTTTATTAGTTCATATTAGAGCTCTTTGCATTACTGTTCCTGAATTTCCAAAGTGGTAGAGTAGTGAGGAAAGAAAGCATAGGTACATATTAACATAGAAAGCCAAAAAAGAATGAGGAATTGATGTTTTTTTAATGTTAAACTGCCATTTTATATATTAAGAAATACTGATTAGGAAAAAAGGTATAGGAAAACTTGAAGGAATTAGATTTACGGTAAAAAAGCTACTCCTCAGCTGCTTTTATATATTGTTAAATTGTGTGCACTTCTTGTTGACTTCTCTCTTATGCGAGAAAAGTATATCCACTATGTGGCCTAAATGATAAAAACTAATGAAACGTTTTTGTTTTTCAACAGCCTTCAGTAAATATCGCTACCAATCGAGTCATGAGACGTGTCAGTTCAGTCCCATCCAGAGCACAGTCTCCCTCTTACATGGTCAGCACAGGTGTTTCCCCTTCAAGGGGGTCACTCCGAGCATCTCTGGGTAGCGGGTATGGTTCTCCATCAGTTGCTGAGCAAAGATCCCTTACTTCTCATGCGTACTCATCCACTACTCTACCAGTACAGCGGGCGGCATCCCCATATGCTGCACAGAGACCTGCCTCCCCAACGGCTGTGCGGCGGATGGGCTCAGTCACATCCAGGCAGACAGCAAATCCCAATGGTGGGACTTCCCAGTACCAAACGTCGGTCAGAGTTGGCTCTCCTCTTGCTCTTAGTGATGTACAAACCAGAGTAGCTTCTCCGTCCCAATCTCAGCTGGGATCTTCTTCCCCGAAGCGTTCTGGCATGACTGCAGTTCCACAGCACTTGGGAACAACACTGCAAAGAACAATTCATGATATTGAACAATATGGACAGCAATATGATATATATGAGAGAATGGTTCCTCCACGTCCAGATAGCCTTACAGGTTAGTAAAAAGGTAAAGACACAGCTTAAAGCTTGGTACAAACCTACAGCTGTAGAAAACCCATAATGCAGTAGTTGTTTTATGGATGAAACATTGTAGCACTAGGACCTTATTGTGGTGGATGTATCGATCAGTTGTAAATACTGATGTCAAACACTATGTGTCAATCATACCCTAAGTTCCCTGTGAATACTGTCTTTCTCTTTAATTACTAGATTGCTAGCCATGCATTAAATTAAATTGGATGTTTTAAGTAGCTGAGTGAAATTCTGGGTCTTCCAAACAGGCATTTCTGTATTTTTGAAGATAAAGTACGTTTAAATGTATGTGCAAGTTACATACAAAGTAAAAGATATTAGACTGGAACTAGTTTTATGTCTAGTTCTTTCTTAAAATATGTAACTTAGTACCACTGAATTTTAGTCCTTTTTTTCCCTAATATTTCTAGGCTGTCTCAAAGTACTTCAACTTAAATATAGTTTAACCATTGTAATATTAGCTTAAAATAAAACCCTAAAAGGTAGAATCTATTCATCTGAGAGGCAGTTCTTATTAAGATGCGGTTACTTTACATTTTAAGTTCTGTGTGTGTTACTGGGTTTTTTTTTCTGACCTTCATCTAAATGAGCACAGAAGGTGATTTTGCAGTTGTGCCATACGCTCTTTTGAACAGACTGCAATGACTGTTTTTTCTTTTAAGCTATTATACTGCAGGAAATCCCCAAATATTCTCATTCCTCAACAAAAGGTGTAAGGTTGTTCTCCCTCGCCTCTGTTTGCCAGACATGGTA